TTTTTTCAAACTCAACTCAGTTGAAATTCCACAGAGTTTGCGATTTGAAGACCTCAATTTTCAGCCCAAATTGGTCTTGTGGCCGGAATTTGATTTGTAGCCCGAATCAGAGTTAAAATGAAGATTTAAAGCTCCATGGATTGAATTGAGGAATTCAAAAATATTTCTTCAAAATTATCATTAATGGTTTCTAATCTGGACCAGATGTTCCTTTAAATTTGTGCCAGAGGCCCCATTAACCACCCCTCCTCTAGTTTTAAAATGTGTGTACGAAGTGTGTCTTTTAACTCATATACCAATAAATGTTAAGAATACAATAGACAGAACATTTGAGCAACAAGAAAGTTTTAAAACTCACAGTATATACTGATGTCAAAAGAAGGCAGGAAGGAAACAGCAAGTAACCTATTTAATCAATTTGTATGAATAATTAGTAGAATAAAGACAAAAAGGGATGGTAAAATGTAAAAGTAATGTGGAGAGCTGTTGCTAATATCCTGAAAGAATATGTCACATAAAAAAAAAAGAAAGTTTGATTTGATTTTTATGGCTTATCAACCCTTTATTGGTTATTTAAGACTGAAACACATTTTGGGATTTTAAGAATAAGTTTGTTTTTTGTTTTTTTACAGATGAATATTGCATTAACAATTTTTTGAGAATAAAAATGATTTTTCACGATACAAGTCTTACTATTTAACATGTAGCTCAACTTTCATCAATAAAATAATAATAAGAAGAAATGGCTTGTTAATTTTAACATTTCCAAAATGGAGCTGCTCTCTTTAATCCTCTGAGAGAACCTTTATTGCCTTCTGTCAGTATGGCTGATGCTAACCTCCAGGAGAGTGACTGATTGCGCCTTCTCAGACTAATTTCTTCAGCTGGCATGAAGTGGAAAGAGTATATTGAATCAATTGCTACCATTCGTCCTTTGAATATTGCTGCCACATCTGGTCAGTGCCTCTGCTATATATTTAGAGATCCTTGATAAAATACAAAGAAAAATCTGCAATGTTATCAGTCCTGATCTGGCATCTTAGCTTCAGTCACTCTCCCACCACCATAACGTAGCTTCCCAGTGCCTTTTCTATAAATATGTGACCCTTTTGCTCTTTTAAGTGCCTCTTTTGCTAATAATTTACTCAAACTTTTCAAGTTTTGTTACACATTGATTTCCCCACTCCTATTTCTTTCAATATGCCCTGTGAGTGTTAAATTCACTGAACCTTCATTCTTCATTATGCTATAACACTCCACAAACAAGGATGATCATATCAATAAACAAATATTTGTAATATGCTTTTTCATAATGAGGCTATCGATTTATTGATGTATCTATGTATCTGATTAATATACCCCAATGAATTAAATGCATTGACAAGGAAAGAGATAATATTGAAAACTAAATATTTATTGTATAAAATGTTTGTCCATCATTAGGCTACAGATTTATTGATGCATCTATGTATGTGATTAATATTCATCATGGAATTAAGTGCATTGATAAAGAAAGAGATCATGTTGAAAACTAAATATTAAAAGTGTAAAATATTTGTCCATTATTAGGTTATCAATTAATTGACGTATCTATGTATGTGATTAATATTTACTACTGAATTAAGTGCATTGACAAGGAAAGAGATTTATGAGAGAGAGAGAGTGTTCTCAGATGCTAAGTATTTTCTCTGCCATGAAAATTCTCCATTAAGAAATTCTATTTTCTCAACAGGATATGCTCAATAAAACACTATCAAAAATGAAACTGTATATAAATATGTTATTTATGCATCCAAGTCAGTTTCTCCTTAGGAATAAATTCAGAAAAAACAAACACGTACATAAGTGAAGCTGCAAATAATGACAAAACTCAGCATTTCCAGGGGATGCACTTGTTGACTTAGTCTACAAACATTTAGTTTATACAAAACTGTTCAATATGAACAAAATATCAATGAAGACCATCAAATCTGTTATGTCCTACTTTTCTCATCTTGACAGCACCATGTCAATTCTTTACAACTGTGACATTTAAACTGAATTTAAACTGAAAATGTTGATAGATGTTTAGATACCACATTTCTAAAACAACTCAAAATCTAATGTGACAAGATCGGTTCTTCAACTAAGACCACTTGTACATATTGGGCAGGTTACAAAATGACTCTGTTGGAAAGAATTTATATTAGACAGTAAAACTAGAGAGCCTAAATAGTAGTTGTGTGAAAGTGAATGAAATGATCATGGCCAGAATTTGAACTCAGCATGCTAGTCTAACTTTCTAAGCTGATAACCATTATGCTATGCACTCACCTCATATATATATATATATATATATATATATATATATATATATATATATACTCATATCATATATATATATTTTCAAACATACATTGTTAAATATAACAGACAACAAATGTCTATTATGTTTGATTATGAGCCATTCTAAGTTATATATATATATATATATATATATATATATATATATTTTTGATACAAACTCAGTCTATACCGGGGTTGAATGAGACTGATGAATTTTGTCGGTTGAAATAAGCCTATTCCTATATGAGGTAATTTTGGATTTTATTCTGTACTAATTATTTGCTCTGTAATAATAAATACATTGAGCTTTTTTTGTAGATCAGTTTTAATATTTTATATTACTAGAATCCACTTGGATTATATACCAGCAGATTTGTTACCTTTACGATATATATATATATATATATATATATATATATATATATATATATATATATATATATATATATATTCTCAAAATGTGTGATCAGATGTTGTTTATGTGTTTCCACAGTTTTCATCCAATTTCAATGAAACTTTGTTTGATAGATAATTCTTCAGTGCCGGTTTTGAGTCCAAATTGTTGCCAACAATGGCTCTCCACTATTTCCTGTCCATTATAACTCTCTGCAACATTTTACTATTTACTATCTGTTCTTGGATATATATCTTTCATAAAAACTTTAATAAAAATAAATAGCTTAAATTATTACAATTATATTATCTATAATTCTCAAAATGCGTGTTTATGTGTGTGCATGTGTGTGTGCGTGCATGCGTGTGTGTGTGTATGTGCGCGTGTGTGTGATCAGATGTTGTCTATGCGTTTCCACAGTTTTCATCTAATTTTGATGAATTTTTTTTGTTTGATAGATAATTCTTCAGTGCCGATTTTGAGCAAAAATTCCCAATAATGAATGGGCTAACAATATATACATTTTTTCATATATCAAGAACCACTTTAGGAGAAAGAAGTATGACAAAAAGTGAAAAGTTTTTGTGCAATGTGTTTCATCTTAGGAGTTCATTGAACCAAGTTTATGTTTAGGTTAATGTGTACGAACAAGAGATACTGTGTTTTAGGTATATAATCTAACCAATTTCATTTAGAATTTATCTAAAGTCAACATAAAATTTGTCACAAATATGTCTAAAACAATAAAAGATTTAATAAATACAAAACAAAATAATAAGCTAAAACTTGGAATAGGAATTTATGCTATCACATGTAATAATTGCCACAAGAAATATATAGGAGAAACCTCAAGGAAAAAAGATTATAGGAACACAAAAGGGATCTTTTGCAAAACAACAAACTAAATGCATTAGTTGTTCACCATAACAAGACTGACCGCAATTTTGATTTTAAAAATGCTACTTTAATTAAAAGAGAAAACAATTTACTAAGACAAAAACGTTTAGAAAGTGTTTTAATCATGAGATCATTCACAGTAAATTTGCTTTCCAGGTTCTTATGTTTCATCATTCTTGGCAGATCTATTCTCACAGTGTCGGATATTTAAGAACAAAGTGTTGGAAACATAGACAAAAAGAAAAAGAATATCAATGAAATTGGTTAGATTATATCTCCAAAACTAACTCGATACAAAACTGAGGAGATATGCATATTTCAAGAATCTATGATGAGTAGGACTTTGCTTAAAGGCACTATTCAGCCTAGCTTGATTGACAATGTCCTTTGTGACCGAGTTGGTATAAGCCCATCGGATCTAACGATGATTCCTTCTGCCCAGGAGGATGTAGATTCAAATCCTGCTTGAGGTCATAGATTTTTATTTAATAAGAATTCTCAAATATTCAGGTCAGTAGATGAAAATAAATATACTTGTAATCATGATTTAATCATTTATAATCATATACATTTCATCTGGGGTCATCAGGAGACTAGTGTGCAAACAGGAGTTTTTTGTATTTTAATACTATTTTAATGTGTAATTAATTATATAATTTTTCATTCTGGAATCATCTGAGGATGACTTTGTTGCAGACACCATACAATTATACACAATATGGGTCCACTTCTAATAGCAGGCCACAACAAGAGAAACATGAAATTAAAATAACAAGAAATATCAAATATATATATTATATATATAAAATAATTAGAGATATTTATTCAAATGGTACATACAAGACTTTTCCATGTTGTTGTTGGTCAGAAAGCAGCTCAATATATTTTTACTGTTCTGGGGTCATTTGTCAAAAATGAGAGAGTTTCTAAATTGTATGCCAAAGTGGAAACGAGGCAGGGCTGTTATTTGCTTGTCTATTGACCAATCAGAGGACTCATTACATGCTGGTTACAACAATGCTATGAAAGAGACTTCTGGATTGGTTATTTTCTTTATTTTTTTTAAAGGGAATCATTACAAGTTTATCAAATAGGGATATTTACTGCTCAAAGGCATATCCAAATTCACTCATCATAGTATAAAATACAAGATGATTTCTGATGAATTTTCTAAAAAACAAAGTTTGTCTTTATTACAAGAAATATGGTTGTCTACTATCGGTCTTATAAAGGACAAAACAGATTCAGAGAAAATATTTCACCCACATTTGGACTGAAAAAAACCTCTGATAACAAATCTTGTTAAACTGGCAAAGATGAAAATATCAGATTTTAAAAATATTACATTTTTTTCAGATGATCTGGTTAAATAGTTTTACTCTACCTGATGCTTTAGCCACAGCCAATGAAGATTCATTAGCACCGGCTAATATCTGAATTCCCACTGGTTTCTTCCTGAACACTTCTTTGACTTTAGTTGCTACGACAGCCATAGCAGCAATTATTTCAGGGCTCACATCTTTGGGTGGTAAATAAGGCAGATCATGCATATTCTCCAACATTATTCCATCCTAAATGAAGAGGGGAAAACAAAAAAGAACTTAAAATTCTCAAAAAAGGTCAAGTTGATTAATTTTACAAGATATCAACCTTGACTAGGAAAAGCAAAAAAAGAGAGTTCCACAAGCAAAAAATGTGAGAGAAGAAACTGTTAACATTCTTTACATTGTTTGGATTGTTGTTCTCACCTTTATTGTCATATTCATGATGTTTTGGCCTTTGTATTCTCTGGCCTTCTTCAGTTGATATACATTGGAATTTTGAGATATCCAAAAAAAGGCATGGCATGTGGAACTAGAACAATCTACTCCAGTGGATGAAATAAATGGTTTGGTTCAAAATTCCAATATATATGTAACCTGTAGCAGGCTAGAACATACAATGGCCGAAATGTCGTGAATATGACAATAAAGATGAGGACAACTGTCTGAAGAATGTAAATAGTGTAAATAGTTACAATATATCTCAGAAATATAGACAGAAGAGACTGTTAGTGTAGAACTTATGATTACATGTAACCATTCCGACTAATGATCAGATCTTGCCACCAATCTAGTACTGCGCTTAAATTCATAGAGTCTAGGTACTAAAAAGGAGAGTCTATCAGAACAATTACCATGAATTATATTTATATTTATATCTCTATTTATAGAAAAGGCAGAGGGAAGCTATGTTATAGTGGTGGAAAAGGAATTGAAGCTGAGATGCCAGGTCAGGACCAATGACATTGCAGATTCTTTGGATTTTATCAAGGATCTCTAAATATATTGCAAGAGTACCAGACCAAATGTAGCAGCAATATTCTAAGCATGGATGAAATTTATGCTCATCTATTTATTCAAGTAAATAGTATATTTGTTACATATTATAGTCAACCAAAAAAAAAAACTTACATCAGCGAGAGAAAGAAACATGAAACGCTTTTACTAAGTGAAAACTTAACTAAAAAACACTTTTATTATTCTCTGATATAAGAAAAAGAAATGGCAAAAAAATTTAGTTATTTTTTTGTTGTTGTTGTTGTTAATCATTTGACTGTAATTTTGTATCTGCATGTGAGTGTAATTGTATCTGCATGTGAGTGTAATTGTATCTGCATGTGAGTGTAATTGTATCTGCATGTGAGTGTAATTGTATCTGCATGTGAGTGAATGTAATGAACCCAATTGGAGTTATAAGATATAAAGAAGAAAAAAGGGAGATAACCAAAATTATTATCTATTAAATATTTGGACTCATCATATTTTCGAGTTAAATGCATTTGCAGACAAACTAAGAAATCAATGTCAGGAATAAATAAAAGTAAATCTGATGTACAATAGTTTCTTTTTTAATCATTTCACCCCAAACAAGGAGATAAAACCACTAAGATGCAAGAGGTTACTTAATATTAAAAATAAATCAAAGTGTAGAGCAATTCGCCATGATGAAATGTAATAGACAGAAATGTTCAACAAACAGAATTGACAAAGTTTCCAAGAAGCAATAACAAATAAAGAAAAGAACAGGGCAAAAATAATACAAAACAAAAACAATATATGCAAAACAAAAGTAGGCAAAATAACAGGAATAAGACGATTTGTCTATATGTTTTTTTTTGGTGGGGAGGGATGTTTTTGCAGTCATTCCATTCTTATTATTGGTAGAAAATAATGCAAAAGAAGAGTTTTGTGTATGAATTCTTTTTTTCCAGAACATTCAATTTTTATTGCCCAGAGCCAGATATAGTGTTGCCATAAATAGGCTCAAAATCAAGGTGTATCAAGAAAAGTCCGCATGAACACTACACTAGTAAATAAAGGGGCATAAAGTTGTAATTTTTTTTTTTTTTACATAGGTCTGCTTTTACAGTCAAGTCAAAAAAGAAGACATAGGTCTACAACCATGATCACTGTTTCATTAACCCCCCACACACACACACACACACCCATCAGATTTGTAATCTTTCTTTCTTCATGGGAGATATCCATTCATAACTACCTGTTTTTTGTTGTTCTCACAAATACTTGCTCTTTTGAAATTCATCTTTCTCTATCCAATTAGTTTATTCTTTGTTTTCTTTGGCTTTGATGCCCTCTGAGTGTTAAATTCTCTAAGAACCTATTTTGACATTATGTGCACTAAAACTTTTAGTAGCCTCTTTTTGATTATTATGAGCTGTTTCTTTGTAGTTTCATTTCTTCTTATAACATTATCATTCGTTGTATGCTCTAGCGATTCAAGTTTTTTTTTACTTGAATTCACCCAATACAAGGACCAAGAGTCACTCAAGGTAGAGGGTTATTGAGTGAGAGTGTTGTAAGGGTGTAATGGAGGAAATAAATAGTGCATATATGAAGGATAGATATCAGGTGACTCTAGTTGTGAAAAGGTCAAGATTTTAGTGATTGGGGTCTCTTCCACAAATAGTGGCTTTTTGTGAAGAAATTGTCAGAATGAAAGTTTCTTCTAATAGAATACAAAAATATGGAGACAATTCACCTGGGTGTATCTGGCTTGGCAGATCTTAGCTGTGAAGGTCTGAACTGGTGGAAGTAAAAAATGTAACTCATGGTGCATATTTGTCATAAAAATAGTGATGAAAAAGTGTGAGGTGAGCAATGTTTTGTATGTGGGGAAAGGGGTTTCAGGGTGGAAAATAATTCATCACTTACAAAGTAACAATCACTTCAGCTCATGACTGAAGTGAGGACTGGGAAGCTTCAACTGAGATATAGCAGCAATACTCCATTCTTGGTCTGATCCAACTCTTGTCAAGATAGAATATGGCAACAGGAGTCCAATATTTTCTAGAGTGATATCAGGAACTGATTATCCTCCCTTTAGTGATGGTACGAATACATGAGCTCCATTTTAAGATCTGGAGTGAGCTTTAAACGCAACAGACATTTGAGGCAAGGAACTTCAGAGTATGGCTACTCATCAGCATTATGAAGGATTTACAGTTTTCAAATTTAGGTCAGTGGTTGAACCACATCTTGGTAGCTTCAAATCTTTAGAGGACAAGTTTGGCTGATTTGTTTTCTATGGTTTATCAACCCTTTGCAGGTTATGTAAAACCAGAAAATATTTTTAGATTGTAAAAATGTTTTTTTGGGGATAATTATTTAGTGTTAGACGTCTTACTAATTAACCCATAGCTGGAGGAGAAGAGGTGGATTCACACCTAATCAGAATTTGATAAAGAAACAAGAAATTATTATGTGGATATAAAGTGGGGGATCAATTCTATATTACAATCAATATATAAACTGATCCCTCAATTTGTGGTTATGGTAGTTTCTATGCATTTCTATTCCAGAGAATGTAAATAAATCTAAAAGACATGTCTGTGTAGTTAATCAGTACTTCATTGATTTGATTTTTTACAGCTTATCAACCATTTGCAGGTTATTTAAATCCAGAAAATACTTTTACATCATAAGAATGTTTTTTACACATAAAGTTCTAATGATACAAATCCTACCAATTAACCCATAGCTGGGGGGACAAAAGAGGGATTCTTATCTTTATCAGGAGTATTTGTACGTAAGTGAATATAATGAACCCAACTGGAATTGGAACTCAGCTATCTGATTAAGAATTCCAAGCCATTATACATTACACCACCAACACATCTAAGCTCACAGCACGTGGTATTCCCAAGTGGTCACCCATCTAAGTACTGATCAGGCTCAATATTGCTTAACTTCAGTGATTGTATGGGAACATGTGCTTCAATGTGACCATCAGCCTTACAGAAAAAGAATTTTTGATATACACATATGCCTCATTTTATCAAGTGATAGGATTCATTTTAGATACTTAGAAACCCAGGCAAAGCCAGGTACATCTGTTAGATGGTATTATTTTCTTGGAGTCATTTAATAAATTAGAATTTAAAAGCAAAAAAATATCAAAGTTTATTCATTGCAATTGGTGGTACAAACATGAAAGCCCCTAAAATTGATTCATATTTGGAGGATATTAAGAAAAGCTTGCTTGTAAAATATTATTTAATATGTATAGCATTCTGATAATAATCAAAGAGAAGATAAGACAGAGGAAACTCACCAGATTAGCTTTCTTATAGATTTCTGCTTCATGACAAGCCTTTTCAATAATTTGACTCATTCCAGAATTGTTTAATGGGGTGCATACAAAATAAAATAAAAAGGATTACAAATAAGAAAGATAAAAAAAAATATATTTCCATTAATATATATATATATAAAATATATAAATATATATAAATATATATATATATATATATATATATATATATATATATATATATATATATATATGCTCCAAAAATTTATTTCGGTTGAGCTCTCTGGGGAGGAAGTGTGGGTTTGTAAACAGTGACTATTACGGCTAAGAATGCAAGACTTCTTCGGTAAATCAAATTGAGTTCTCTCAGCCACATGCGTGTTTATCTAAAAATAAATACACTTAAATTCACCTCCATCCCTGCCGTGCGCCAACAGCTTAGTGGTAGAATCCCCAACTGACGCCAATTCAGTTGGGTTTTGATCCTAGCTAGAGGAAACCGGATGTCTAGCCACACTGATGAGATGTGATACAGCGAAACAGTCTGTCTGTGGATGATTATATATATATATATATATATATATATATATATATATATATATATATAGAGAGAGAGAGAGAGGGGGGAGGCTGAATGCCAGAGTTTCACACTTTTTCATCTTTACTCCTAGAGGCTGTAATCCAACATATCATACCATTTTGGAATCAGGCTGATTCCGTGAGCAAATTAAAAACATTTCAGGCCAGATCTGGACCTACAATCCTGAAATTTTGAATTCCCTAGTTTTCATTACTGCGATTGTTTTCAGCAACTTTTTTTTTTTTTTGTATGATAACAATTTTTATAACTTGGAAATAAATTTGGGAATAATTGAAATTAATTGCAAAGTCCACCAGAATTCACCCATGAAATAAAAATGATTGTATGGAAAGTAAGGATTTATGTACATAAAATAGTCTTTAAATTAAGTTACAACAGAAGAATTATCATTGAACTTTTGAAAGGTGTTGTAGAAGAGTAAGTGTCATTGCCGACACTGGTTTGAAACTAGATTTCCCGTGAGTAACACAGGCGATTCCATTATTAAGTAGATCACGTGTTCATAAAGGAAGTGAATAAATAGAAAGTAGCGTGATGACTATACGATCACTGTTAACTCTTCTTGTCTATCCACTGTTGCTATATATTCACTGTCTCTACTCTACTACTATACAGATTACGATTCTCTTCTGATCATTATACTATTTGGCAATTATTACTTGAACAAGTATTACTAGTACAGATATTATTGGAAGGTTTTACTACTAGTACTGGGGTCTACAAAGTCTCAAATATAACAAGCATTTTGGGAAGTGATAACAGGTTTTTGCCTGACATAGCAAAAGTGAAAGTGAAACCATCCAACATCACAAAAAAAGATGAGTTTAAATATTAATGCAATACTTAAATTCAGCAATCAATTTTGAGTTCTTCTGTAGTTTATTGTTTCCCATTGCATATGGCAGCAGTATGCCTTGCAAATTAAAATCTCTGCCAACAGAGGACCAGATTGCAATCAAAGGAGCCAAGGCTGCAGTGAGGAAAACAAAGTCCCATGCAAATGGAAACCCAGATTAAATGGCAGTGAGAAGAGCTTTTTTAATGTGGAGAATATGCAAAGACTTAAGGACTCTCAAAAGACCTGAACAAGGCCCAATCAAGAGCTCTCCACAGGAGTTAGCTTAATTGTCTCCAAGTGGGGCAGCTTTTAAGCTACTATATATATATATATATATATATATATATTGTGTGTATTTAGGCAGCATATTTTCATTTATACACGTTTCATTAAATAATATAGACAAGTGTTGTCCATTTATTTTATGTAAAATTTTTTCGTATCTTCTGATAAGTTTGGTAACATTATCATTAACCTAAAAAGAAATTCACAATATTTATCCATTATTTTTAATAAAATCTAAGCTTTCGGCTTACTCAAGCCATTATCAAAGATATAATTACAAACATATCAAACAATATCATGGACCACGACAGCGATGATAGTCTGTCATTGTTTTGTTTACATAGTGATCACTAAGCAACGATGAACACAGCATATAAGACATCTTATATCATATATCATATCATTATATATATATATATATATATATATATAATGATATATAATTTTTTATATATTAAGAAACAATTTTTGGGAGGAAAGATGTATGGTAAAATGCAAAAAGGTTTTGTGTGATACATTTCATCCTTCATCAGACTAAGTTTGTTTATTTTTTATGCATCTACACATGCACAAGAGAAATTTAGTTTAATTTTTTTTATTTTTTTTTTAAGTGTTTTGGGTAGATAATATAGCTGAATTTATATAAATTATTTTTGTTTTTCATATTGTGATAACAAGTCTGCCAAGAAAATGACAAAATGTATTGCACAAAATCTTTTTCCACTTTGTCATACATTTTCCCTACAAAATTGTTCTTGATGAAAATTGTTCTTGATAAAAAATGAATGATATATATATATATATAATAATAAAAAGGCTTAAACAATAATATTCCATGGTCATAATTTATTCCATTG